AAAGCAAATTAATTCTACCCCAGCCAAAACCAGCACAAGTGGAAGTGCAGACACTAAGCTCACAGGGAGGCACCTACACTGTAGCCACTGAGGGCTCCATTCAGTTTCCTAAACATAGGCTTCTGGTGCCATTTGAGATACTCTGGGGGTTCTTAAGAAATCCATGAGGATGCCTCAACTGGCGCTAAGGTACCTGTATTTAGGGAACTAATTTCTAACCTGGAATGGCATCCATATCAACTGATTTTAGAGTTTTCCATATGTAAACCTACCTCTGAGCTTGTTTTACAGTCAGTGGTGAGAAACAGGCTCTTTAGGCATGCAGTTCAGCTGACTTTTAGACTTCAAGATGAGTTGAACAACATTGATAAACCACGTATTTCTCTCCATTTACAATTAAATAATTGTAGAGTGGCTCTGGCAGATGTGCATGTCTTACAATACGGGTGAATCCCACCTTTGCAGAGCGTACGTGCTAGCGTCTCCTGTAAACAGAGAAACTAATGCCATTTCCAAAGGAAAACCAACAGCTTTGATTTTCTCTGAGCTATGTGCTTTGTACAATCATATACAAATGTGGAAAGCAGATATAGACTTAAATAAAAGGAGGGTAAGATGGCCTCTTGTTTTATAGGATTTGTTGCAAAATTAATGCCATTAAAGTTTGTGAAGCCGTTCTTCCTTTGTAGTTGTGAGTATGACTGAATAGCTTTCAAGGAAATCAATCATCTGGTTAATGTTTATGTCTTACTCTTTGATCCCTTTGCAGGAGCATGAAAGCTTATACCAAAGTTGGTATAAGCAAGAGAAAATCTTTTTTGCATTTATAGCAGGAAAAGGGTGAAATACTGGGAAATAAAGAGTTAATGTGATTTTCCTGCCTAAGAGAGAATATGCTTTTCAAATGACTAATACCCTATCTCATGGTAAATAAAGGATAAAATATCTCGTGGCATTTAGAAACCTTAAAATGCCTAGCATAGTCCTGATGTCATTTGACATTAAATTTTTATGCCATTCACAAATCCAGAAGATTTTCATTATTTCATGACATTCGTCAGTACCATGTGAAGGAGATGGATGAAAATATTTTTGGCACCTTTCATTATTAAAGTGCATTACTTGCTATCCTTTGACCAGAGCATTCCAGCTTTCTTTCAATACATAGAAGATGACATTTGTAATAGGAATTTGTTTCCTGCAGTTTCTCCAAAAGCAAATTGTCCGTCATGTACAAGTTAAACAGTAAAAATTAGCACTGACAGTTTTTAAGCTTCAACTATGAGATTAATTGATTTAAGGGGGTGGGGATGGGAATAACCAAGCTCTGGAAACCCACTCAATGAGGGTGAGATCCTTCTGGCTTTCAGGATTGCCAAACTCCTTTTTTTCCTCTGGTGCTCTAAATTCACTTCTGCTCTCCTTTCCCCTCCCTCATGAACGCGTTTTACTTCTCTTTCCGGCTCCACTTCCCTTCCTTGTGCTTCGTGGGCCTACTGACTGCAAGGACTGCAATTCATCATTAATTCTGGTGTATTCCTACTGTCAAGCCATCTAGAACAGAGCTGTCCAGATCCTGCCTCTCTGCAGGCGAGTAGTGCCAGTTCTAGATCACCCAGGCATGGCAGCTTCCCTGCGTGGCGCTAAGCACACCAACATGTGCATGCATTTGCATGGTTCAACTCAAAATCCTTCAATGGATTGAATATAGCACTGTGACACCAGCACTGTTATCAGATATCACTGCAGCTTCAGCCGTATCTTCCCTCCCCTGCTCCACGAGTTCCTGATTTCCCCCCATTCTCCGATACATAATGTCTTCACCCCCTTGCTTGTTTTGTTCATCTTCATCATTTTCACACCAAACACCAACTCTTTCCTGGTGGTAGAAACACACTGCCGAACACTGGGCATGAGTGACACAAGGAAATAGAACTTGTCGGCATTGACGGATCCCGCACCGTGAATTCATGCTTTTGCTGGACTGGTGGAGAGTGCACAACCTCACAGGTGTAGCCAAACTCTGAGAGCATTGTCTGGAACAGGCGTTGTCATCAGTGCATTTTTATGTGGGTAGGAAGCCGTCAGAGAATTAGCTGGCATTGCCATCCAGTACTGGTTCATGCCCTGCCATCCTCCTATTGCATTTAGACATAACCTGCTCCAACGGATTGAAATTCTAAAACTATATCACAAGAAGACAACAGAAATTCTCAGAGAACTGTTGTGACGTGCATACACAAATAAAGAAAAAGAGAGAAAGCAGGGAAGCAGTCAGGAAACTGGTAATGGAAATTTGCCTGATATACCTGTCCTGGTTTCGGCAGGGATAGAGTTAATTTCCTTTCCAG